TTTTTTTTTTTTTTTTTTTCCTGTGACTCTTCTCGTTGGGTAAAGGTTTGGAGCTGTCTTCCTGTGGGACAGTGGCTCTTCTGTGGGCGAGATCACGGGACACAACAAAGTCATCAACAGCGTGGACATCAAGCAGAGCAGGCCCTACCGGTTGGTGACCGGCAGCGATGATAACTGCGCCGCGTTCTTTGAGGGGCCACCATTCAAGTTCAAGTTTACAATTGGCGTAAGTGGGCTTCTCTGTAATGTAGTTTTGGTTGAACTTGGTGGTTTGTATTTGAAGCCAGTGGAGTCTAAGCCTGTTAGATACTGATGGCAGAGAGGTCACAGGAGCCCACAGTTAGTGTGTTGGCAGAAAGCAGGGTTTGTGAGGGACCATCTCACGGGGGTGGGATAGCACCCCAGTCCCCAGCCCCCATAGCCGTGTAGTAGAGTGATGTGGATGGTTCCATTTCCAGCAGGAGGGGTCCTGCACAGGGCCGGGCTTCCTTCTGTGACGCTGTGTGTATTCTGGGGTGGGGGTAGGGAGAACCTATGAGCTATGTGAGCAGGCGAGCATCCTGGTTTTGCAGGTGCCTTATTAGCAAGGGGAGTCCAGGACTGGCATCAGTCAGCCTGCTCTCTGGTTGTGTCACCTTGAAATCTGCTGAGTCACCAAAGTAGCAGAGGAGGTGAGCCTCCAGGGGCATTCGGATTTGTCTCCAGTGCCTTCTCAGGGAAAGGTGATGGGGGCAGGGACACACTTGTAAAGTGACATACGGTGAGAAGAACTAGATGCTTTGCCTGGAGATGGGTGCTCTAACTGGCCTAGTGAAGGGTCACGGGCTTTGGGATCCCAGACCCAACTCTACATGTGGTCTTGACTGGCACTAGAGCCTGACCCTCTCTAGGCCTCACTTTTCCTGTCTGCAGTGTGGATGCGGGGGACATTGGCATCCGCATTTTAACCATGAATTTGGACTGCACAGCCTCCCACAGGTCCAGAGCTGTTCCATGTCCTGCCTCGAGGGTTAAATGAGATAAATTTCCTTAAAGTGGCTCCCTGAGGACTCCTGTTGACTTTGATGACAACGCAGTGAATCATAAACATTGGGCCAGGCATAGCTGGAAAGGAAGATGAAGCTGCCACAGCAGGTCCCCAGAGGGCAGGTTGAGCACCCTGGACAGAATTTCCACGCACAGATCTTGGGGTTCCCTGTTGGTAGTGAGATGGTCTTTGTTCTTTCGGGGCTGCTGAGCAGGGCCTGGCTGATGCTTAAGTGGCATTGCTGTGTGGGGAGTGCACCGTCCTCCCGGCATCCTACACTTCTGGCCATCCCCTGTGACCACTGCCTAATATGGGGGAGGGAGGAGCTTTGTCGAAGACTGGTTCATGGTCAGTGTTTTCTAAGTAGGGACAGGGACTGTGGAGCGTAGGGTGAGTCATGCTGAGTCAGATAGCAGCCTCTTGCTCTGCGCTGGCTGTTGCAGTGCAGCTGTGCCCACTCCCCGAGTCTCCACATGTTCTGTTTTGTTCCTGGGTTGTGATCTGGGCTGGGGGTGGGTGGGGTTCCTTCCCCTGCCTGGAAAGAATTGGTTCCTCTTTGCAGATGTGGATTAAACCTGGCACACAGGCTCAGTGGCGAGTGGGTGAAGCCATGATTTGAGCCCACAGTCAGCTCCAGCCTTCTCCACGTGCTCATTTGGCCAGAACATTCTTTCTCTTTCTGTTCTCCTTATAGCCTGAGACCATAGCCCTCACCCAGAGGCCTCATCCCAAGACTGTTGGGTTGAAAGGTTTGCCCAGCTGGCACCTATCTCCATAGGTCCTGTGTAGGGATCTTGGAGAGATCAGAAGGGACTGTAAACAGGAGTCGGGGACACTGGGTTTCAGCCTAGCATTGTAGCCGGCTGGCTCTGCGACTTTCAGGCTGGTCATCCCTCACCCCCCATAGCCCCCCACCGGGAAGCTGGGTGGTGATAGCCTCCTCCACTGGCCCCCTGAGCTATGAGGAGAACAGGAGAGATGTTGGTGAACAGTTGCATGCCCATGCGGAAATCTTTGGGCTTCTGTTGGCACAGGTTCTAACAGACTCAGTTGGCCTAGTGTAGAAGGGACGAGAGGCACTCGTGCCCCCCCCCCCC